GAGTGTGTGTATGAATGTGTGTGAATATGTGTGTGTGTATGAATGAGTGTGAGTGTGTGTGTATGAATTAGTGTGTGTGTGTGTGTGTTGGGAGAGTGCACATGAAGTCAGAGGACCACTTTCAGGAATCGGTTACCCTCTAGGTTCTCAGGCTGTCGAGACAAGGGCTTCTTCTGCCTGAGCCATGCTGTCAGTGCTCCATCTCCTGTGCCTTGGTCCCCTGCTCGCAGCTCCTGTGCCACTGCGTACACACTACTTCCATGCTACTCTTAGGAATCTAGGATATTCAAAACGTTTCCAACTTGCCAGAATTCGAAGGTCAGCTGGAATTTAAGACATTTTGGGTATCCTGACAAGCCTAGATGCACCCTTTAGCTAAAGGCATCTGCCCATCCCTCTCTCACACAACCATAACACTATGAATTAAAATGATAGCCACCGTTAATTTGATCAAGGGAGGGGCGAAGGAGGATGGACAGAATTTGTAGGTACACGAGTATCTTGTCCGGGGAGTAGTCATCATATGGCCATCAAGATGACTCAGGATAAAGACATCTGCCACCAAGCCTGGAGACTCAAGTTTGATCCCTAAGACTCGCTTGGTGGAAAGTGATAACTCCAACAAGTTGTCCTGTGTAGATCCAATCTCTGGGGAAAAAGAAAAAGTCAAAGTAAATATAGTGAACACCGGGGCCGTGATCTACTGTCCATTCTGAACCAGGGCCAAGACTGCACAAGCTTTCTGTAAGAGTGAATTACAAATGTGGACAGCTCAGCACAGTTGGAGTTGGTGCCAACTTGAGCCTACTTCCTTTCCTTATCTTATGGAGATTGGATAAGACCTAGTTTTCCAGTCTTAGAGAAGTGCCTTGTGCCTTTCGAGACAGAGTTTCTCTGTAGCTTTTTGGAGCCTGTCCTGGAATAGCTCTTGCAGACCAGGCTGGCCTCAAACTCAGAGATCCATCTGTCTCTGCCTCCTGAGTGCTGGGATTAAAGGTGTGTGCCACCACTGCCAGGCCCACTTGCCCACTTTTTATTTTTTATTTTTTTTAAGACAGGGATTTACTATGTAAACCTGGTTGGCCTAGCACTTACTATGTGGACCAGACTGGTGTCTGCCTCCCACATGCTGGGATTAAAGGTTATGTGCCATTATGCCCAACTGATTTTGTGAGGTTATTTATTTATGTGTATAAATTTTTTATCTGCATGTATGTCTGTGTACTACATTCTTGCCTGGTACTGGAAGAGGTCAGAAGAATGTGTCAGATCCTCCAGAACTAGAATTATAGACAGTTGTGAGCTGCCACCATCTGGTCGCTCTAAACTGAACGTGGGTCTTCGGCCACACAGCAAGTGCTCTTAACTGTTAAGCCATCTCTCCAATCTGATTCTGTGTTTTCAAAAGACAACTCTGTAGAAGTAAACAGGCCTTAGCAAAGTCACTTGCACTAGACAGCAGGACTTGCAGGGATTTTCTTACTCACTGGGTATTACAGCCAGACTGGCACGCTACACAGATGCCCTACAAAGGACCTGTACATTCAGCCTGGAATTGCAGGATGTTGTATTTCCTGGAACTGGACTTACAGATGGTTGCGAGCTGCTATGTGGGTGCTGGGAATTGAACCCTGGTCCTCTCAAAGAGCAGGCAGTGCTCTTGACTGCAGAGATATCGCTCCAGTCTCAGGATGTTGTAATAGGGTTCCAGACCTAACTTCGCAGGTCCCCAGACCTTAGCACAACTGACTCCATGGTGGAAGTGCCATTCAGGCTGTAAAATCAACATGTAGACAGCACCACCTGCCAAAACTAAAACAGAGGTCTAATCATGAGTCCATAGTTATGGGAAAGTCTCTAAATGTATTAACCTTGCTTTTTTGGCTTCTGTAGTTCCACTTCTGGCTGTTTTTGTTTCAATTTTACTTTATGAGCATTGGTTTTGCCTGCATGTACGTCTGCGTGAGACTGTCATATTACCTGGAACTGGAATTACAGACAGCTCTGAGCTGCCATATGGGTGCTGGGAATTGAACCTGGGTCCTCTAGAATAACAGGCAGTGCTCTTAACCACTGAACCATCTTTCCAGCACCCTGGCTAATTGTTCTTAGCTAAAGTATGTCAACCCAGGATATGGTTTTTGTGCTTAAAAGCTCACCCTGAAGAAGGCTCAGTGCTACCCTGGGATTCTGAACAACCACAGTCAGTTAATAAAGACTTTCTATTGGCTTAAACCCATGTCTGGGCAGTCTTCATTAGTGAGTACCCCACAACAGATGCTATACTCCCAGCAGCAAGCATGGCTTACCTCTACCCTAAGGCAAGGAGCAGCTGAGCCGCAAGTATTACATGAGGACCTTTAACAGGAGAGGACCAGAGAGGCGACACCGAGAGACCTCAAGCTGACCCCTTCTGCTCAGGACTCAGCTTCCTTCTGCTTTTCACAGATTATGTATTCTGCCCAAGACAGACAGGACCCCAGCTTCACTGCTTAAATGACTTTATTTCTTTTACATCAAACCGAAAAGGCAGAACAGTAGTTCAGCTTTTTTTGGTCACTGGGCCAACAACTTTTGGCAGTTCTTGAAAAAGGAACAAGTTGAGTTTCAGGTCAGCTTGGTCTACACAGTTCAAAATGAACGAACAAAAACTATAATGCGACCAGATTTTCTTACACCAGAAATAAGTACAAATAAAACAGTAAGATACTTTAAAATATGGAAGTGCAAGTGTTTCTTAATGATAAGACCCTCCAGTGTTAGTAGGGGAGGAGAAGACTGGAGTGGGGTGACAAGGTGGCTCTGAGGAACGTCCACACGACAGAGCTTCGACAGCAGGCCCACCCTGCGACTGCGCTCCTTATGACGCAAGCCGAGGAAATAAGGACGAAAACACAGTTAACACCCTTGCTCATCGTGTCACTGTTAGGAGCAACGGTAGGCAACACAACAGTGGATTACTGAAATCACAGCCCAGCAATACAATGGAGCATTGGCAACAGTGTTCATGGCCGGGTGTCTACTGACAAGGAAGATGTTCCTGTCTGGGTAAATGAAAAACAAGCTATAAAAGAGTACAGTATGAACTCATTCTTGTTTAGAAAACTACATGTCTGCACATAGGAAGCCAGGATATACACATTACCACTGGCAAGCTCTGCCCAGTGGAGGTGAGTTAATTAGAACTTTATACTGATTCTTACATTGATATATACTTATCATGTATTATTTCTGTGGTTAGAAGGCAGGCAGGAGTTAAGCCTAGTTCAGCTTGGGTCTTTGACTTGTGAAGTGAGGGCCCATGCGTCCCTAGAGCATCTGCTTGCTTTGTTCCTTCTGATCTGAGCTGGTCGGTAGTCTTAGCTGTTTTCCTGCAAAAGCCACACTCAGGTGTGCTTGCTTATCTGTCTGGAAAACAGTCTCTCCCTTGCCAGTAGAGCCCACACAGACTCTGAGTGGGATAGAAAACCACCTAAGTGAGCAGGGTGCTGGCAAAACTGTGCTCGGGGCCTGTACTTTAAGAGGGAGTCCTCAGAAAACTTCAGTGAGGAAGCAGATACAGAGGGAGTTTCAGTGTGTAACAGCCCAGACTGTCCTAGAAGTTGCTTTATAGACCAGGCCTGCCTCTGCCTCCCGAGTGCTGGGATTAAAGGCGTGCGCCACCACCACCCGACTGAAACTTTTGCCTTTTAATGTGTAAAATTTTTATTTATTTGTATGCGTGTGCCTGTTTGTCTGTATGGACGTCACACGTGTGCAGGCCGCTGCAGAGGCCAGAGTGCAGATCCCCTCGAACTGGCCTTAAAGGCAGCTGGGAACCACCTAATGTGGGTGCTAGGAATTGAACTCAGGTCCTCTGAAAAAGCAGCAAACACTCTTAACTGCTGATCCACCTTCCCGACTTCTATCTGTTGTTTTCTTGAGACAAGCTCTCATGTAGTACAGGGTGGCCACGAATCGATCTGTAACTGAGGATGTCCTTGGTCTGCCATGACTGGTATTCTAAGGAATAACAGGGTCTGTACTTAGGCCATGTTTCAGTGCTAGGCCTCCAGGGGAAGGGATGATGGCAAAGTATTTGAACGGTTACTACAGAGTCCTTAAGCTACTGAGTCACTTCAGAATAGAAGTTGGCGGATAAGAAAAGGTGATACCAACCCTGAAACGATGGAAATTTTGGTAGAAAGGGTTTGCATCCTGGGCTGGTATAAACAGTCCAAGTGAACCAAACTCCTGAGGACCTTACAACTTGTATTTATGAAATATGGCCTTACCCATTAAAGAAATCTTTCCTACTAAACCCAGGTGTGATGCAGCTAAGCAATCCTCTGTATATCCTCCATCCTCCATCCTGATCCAAAAGAGCCTGGTACACACAGTCAGGGCTGTTTCCCCAGGGTTAACAATGCAGACTGCAGCAGGGAGGCACTAACACAAAGAGAAACCCAATCGAGATCTGTGGGAAGGACGCCCGCCCACATCCATCTTCATTGAAGGATGTCACTATCAACCTGGAACAAAGGGTCCGGACACAGTACTGAAAATGTGCCTGAAGCAATATGTTTCTGACTAGTGGTTTAAATACTGACATTTGTAAATGTTTTACGTTTAAAGAGAATAAACTGTTGTAGACAAGCAGGTCGCACACAACAAAGTCACTTGCAAATACTTATTTGCTTTATGTTTTTTGAGACATCTCACAGAGCCCAGCCTGGCTTAGAATTCACTACGTGGTTGAGGCTGGCCTTGAACTCCTGACCTTCTTGCTTCCACCTTCCAAGAAGAAGGACTGCAGGTGTGCGCCTACCACACCTGGCCTGGCTTCTTGACGGAGTTCCCACTATTAGCAAGTGAGCATCTTTCCCTGTCACCGCGGCTGAAAAGTTGACTGCTGCTCTAGCTGAGCAGGAAGGGAGCCCTGGAAGGCGGCCAGGGACCAGACTGCCATGTTTTCCCATGTTCCGAATTGGGGAGGCAGGGGTGAGGACAGCTGTGACGCAGGCACAGAGGACTATGTGGGAGGAGGCACTGAGGCTTGAGGGCGGCAGGACGTCCTCTGAGTTCAAGGGCAAACGTCAGCGCTTAGAGGAGATGGCCAGCACAGCAGCCACGGCAGGTGCAAAGTCGGTTCTGGTGGGGACAGCTTTCTAGGGTGGAGCCGAGTCCCTCAGTTACTCGTGGGAAACTCGTTCCAAGGCCACATAGAAACTGTTCTTGTCGTCTAGGCAATGCCAGCCAATGGGTCCAATCTCACAGTCCGCACAGACCAGAAACTTGATGTTGCCCACGTCCTTGGTGAAGCCCACGTTCTCAAAGATGAACATGTCGTTAACCAGCCAGTGCTCCTGGAGGAGATCACCGTCGGGATTGCTGCCATCAGCCAGGGCTGGCTTCTTTCTCATGGAGGGGAGGAAAAGCTGCGGTGGGAGAGAGAACACAAGGCATGTGAAAGCCGAACTGGCTCCGGTCACATCTTCGCTCCTAGTCTAGTGCCCTCGACCTTGACGCCCAGCAGCTTCCTGGACTGGGAGGGAATAAAAGGACGGCAGTCACCACAGTAGGCCACACTCTAGGGTGACGGTCGCTCTTCTGCTCGGTGTCTGCCTTGATTACCACTATTACCACTGTTAGGATTATTTTGAGACATGGCCTCCCATGCCTTTGCTGATCTTTTTTTTTTTTTTGGTGTTTTTAATACTTTACTTTTATTTTATGAGCATTGGTGTATTGCCTGCATGTATGTCTGTGTGAGGGAACTGGAATTACAGTTTATAGACAGTTGTGAGCGGTCATGTGGGAATTGAACCTGGGTCCTCAGGAAGAGCAACCAGTGCTCTTAACCACAGAGCCATCCCTCCAACCCTGCCTTTGCTGATCTTTAATTCACAGATACTGGCCTGCCTCTGCCTCCTCGGGGCTGGGATTAAAGGCGTGAGCTACCACATGTGGCTTGCCCTGGCTCTTTGTTTGAGCTTCCACTTTCCACAATCTTTACTGATCCAGTGGCATGGGTATGAATCACACTGCACTAGCCAACAGCTTCTGCTTTCAGAGTTGTCCTTCTGCCTGCCCCTTCCTTCCCTTCCTGTGACGCTTTTCCAATGAAGGCCTCTTCACTGGTGACACACCTCTCACATGGCCTCCACCCAGCACACACAGAGGAGACAGAACTGCTACACCTGCCCAGAGCTTCACGCTTATCCCTAACTCTCAGATGTTCCGCTGTAATCAGCGTGGGGCGTGTATGAGTCCGGCCCCATGATGCTATCACTGTGAGTCCACAGTGTGCTCTTCTTCCTTTATCACCACCAAGCTCAGCACCAAGTTCAGACGAGAAAGGGAACCGAGGGTTTGCGATGATAAGAGATATGGGCGGGGCACTTGAGCAGGTGGCCTCTCTTCACTGTTCATGGAGTCCAGGACACCGCCTGAGCTAGCCCCGCTAGCTTCACTGTGGATCAGCCACACTGGCCGCCTTGCTTCTTCAACAAGCAAGATGGTTCTGCCTGCAGACTTGGCGAGGATGGCCCCTTGTTGGTATTCATAATCTCAGGAAGTCTTTGACCACCACGGTCTGAATGAATTCCATACTGCCTAGTATATTTTTAAAAAAAAATTTTTTTTTTTCAAGACAGGGTTTCTCTGAATAGCCCTGGCTGTCCTGGAACTCACCTTGTAGACCAGGCCTGGCTTGAACTCAGAGACCTGCCTACCTCTGCCTCCTGAGTGCTGGGATTAAAGGCGTGCACCACCACCACCCAGGTTATTTATTTATTAAATTTTATTCTATATACTGTGTTCTGCCTGTTCGTATGCCTGCAGGCCAGAAGAGGGCACCAGATCTCATTACAGATGATTGTGAGCCACCATGTGGTTGCTGGGACTTGAACTCAGGACCTTCGGAAGAACAGGCAGAGCTCTTAACTGCTGAACCATCTCTCCAGCTCTGCTTATTTTATTTTTAAAAGAGAGCTTAACTGAAGAATCACAGATGCAAACGCTGCATGTATCTAAATGCACAGCTGCCACACTTGGACACCTGCAAATGCTGATGAAAATATCATAATCATAATATCTTCATAACATTGTCATCACACCTGAGTTTCCTCATACCATGACCAAATTTTCTGAAAAATGTCTTATTAGATTTTACGTGTATGAATGTTTTATCCACATGCATGTATGTACATACTTCACATGTGTGTCTGTTGAACCCCCCTGGAACTGGAGTGATAGTTGGTTGAGAGCCACCATGTGAATGTTGGGAATTGAACCAGGGTCCTCTGTAAGAACAGCCAGTGCCCTTACTGAGTCATCAATCCAGTGCCTAAAAGAAAAGTGTCTTAATTTACTGTCTTTCTCCATTAGAGTATTTGTTCCTGAATTGGATTTATCTTATTAAAAAAGAGAAAATCTAACTTTAGAATCTGAAGTGCTGTCAAGATTTTTTTAAACTTTTATTTGCATGTGTGCATGTGTTAAGGGTATGCCGTCTTATGTCTGGGGAGCCTACGGAGTTGGGAAGAGGGCACCAGATCGCCTGGGATGAGACACAGGCAATGGTGAGCACTGGATGCGGGCTAAGAGCTTCACTCAGGCTCTCCAGAAGAGAAGCAAGTGCTCTTAACAACTGGGCCATCTCCAGCTCCTAGCCCAAGATCTCAGATACTTCAGCCTCAGTTACCAGGAGAGAGAAGAAAAGTCTCTGGTGCACGTGTGCACACGCACACAAACGGCTGTTTTCACTTCCTGTGTGGGCAGTGTGCATACCTCCTACTGCAACACGCACTGCCAGCAAAGCTTCCTCAGCTTCCGCTCCTCTGGTGGCTGCTGCCCTATCGCTTGTTTCCCAGCCACAACACTTTTATTTTGAGACAGAGTCTTGCTATAGTGCTAAGTGGTCAAGTTATGATCCTCCTGCCTCACAGTTCCGAGTAATGGGATTAAAAGGCAAAACATATACATATATTTCTTTTCTTCCCCTCCTTTAGTTTTTAAAAGATTTATGTGTTTATGTATTTTATGTATGAGTGCTCTGTCTTCATGCACACCAGAAGAGGGCAGCAGATCGTATTGCAGAAGGTAGTGAGCCACCGTGTGGTTGCCGAGAATTGAACTCAGGACCCCTGGAAGAGCAGCTAGTGCTCTAAACCACTGAGCCATCTCTCTCCCCAGCCCCCTTTTCTTTTCTTTCTCTTTTCTTCTCTGTCTGTCTGTCTGTCTGTCTGTCTTTCTTTCCTTTTTTTGAGACACCGTCTCACTGTGTAGCTCTGACTGACCTGGAACTCACCATGTAAATTAAGCTAACCTCAAATTCAGAGCTCTGCCTGCTTATGCCTCATGAATGGCCTGATGAATGCTGAGATTAATGGCTGGCACCATACTCAGTTTCTACTTCTTCCTCACTCTTCATCCTCCTCCTGTGTACTCAGGCGTATGAGTGTTTTAACAGCATGTATGTATGTATATGCACCATGTGTATGCTGAGTGCCTGCTGAGGTCAGAATAGGGCAAGGGGTCACTTGAAACTGGAGTTACAGGTGACCGTGAGCTAATATATGGTGCTGAGAACCAACCCTGAGTCCTCTGTAAGAGCAATAGATCAGTTCATCATCATGTGAACAGAGAGACAGAACAATTCACGTCAAAGTGGAGACGAAGCAGAGAGGGCAATAACACCCAAGCACATGTTCCAGAAGTGACCATTCCAATACCACCCAACAGTCTACACAAATTCCAAATCCATCAGTGGGCTAAAGCATCCTCAGAGGCCTCATTAGGTAATCCTCACGGAATGGAACTGAGATATTCTTTATCAATCTTTTAGGTCTCTCTCTCTGTCTCTCTCTGTCTCTCTGTCTCTCTCTCTGTCTCTCTCTCTGTGTCTGTCTCTCTCTCTCTTGACAGGACCTCTCTGTGTAGGCCTGGCTGTCCTGAAACTTGCTTTGTAGACTCACTCTGGGATTAAAGGCCTGGCTCCTAGGTGTCTCTTAATTCAGTCAAGTTGACAAGATTAATCATCACAGCCAGATGTTGTGGGGCTTGCTGGGGCTTGCCTTTAATTCCAGCACTTGCAAGGCAGAGGTGGGTGGATGTCTGTAAGTTTGAGGCCAGTCTGGTCTAAAGAAATAGTTTCAGGACAGCCAAAGCTACATAGTGAGACCTTGTCTCAAAAAACAAACAAACAAAAAACGGTTGCCAAGATACTAAAATTTTATAAAAAAGGAAAAATACGAACTGCCTCATCACATGAAATGGCTGCACATAACTAGGGCACAGCTCACAAGCCAAACAACTCACTGTGAAACCCACTTGTGTGCACGCCTGTGCGGGTCAGGAGAAGCCCCTGGGTCCCTTGGTGCTTCAGTCAGAGGGGGTGTGAACTGCCAAACGGGTGCCAAAGCCAGACTCAGGTTCTCTGGAAGAGCAGTGAATGCTCTTAACCGCTGAGCTGTCTCTCCAGCCTCCACTAAACCACGTTTCTGTGTACAGTCCTGTACACAAGAGTGCTCACAATTGTGCTGCCACTGCCTACATAACACCAGAGCCTCACATCTGCCCAGATGGAGGCTGGTCCCACTGAAGAAGTGTCTCCCTATGTTCCCGCCCTCCCATGCTCCCTTCTCTGGCCTTGCGAGCAGCAACCACCAAGTACCATCTTCTATGGTCACTCTAGGTAGTTTATGTCATAGAGTCATTCCGCATGTGTCCTTTTAGGACTGGCTTATTTCACTGTCCCGACAAGTTCATATTTAGTTTTAAGAAATGATGCAAAGGAGCTGGGCATAGTGGCATTCATTCGCCTTTAGTCTCAGCAGAGGCAGGTGGATAACTTCGAGTTCAAGGTCAGTCAGGGATACAAAGTGAGGTGTGGGTTCAGAAGCCAACAGTAACAAAAGCCGGGCAGTACTCGGGAGGCAGAGGCAGGCGGATCTCTGTGAGTTTAAGGCCAGCATGGTCTACGCTGGCCTACAGGAGCTAAATCCAGGACAGGCTCTAAAGCTACAGAGAAACCCCGTCTTGAAAAACCAAAATAAAATAAAATAAAAATTAAAAAAAAAACAAAAAACACAACAACAAAACCCACACACATACATATATAAAACAAAACCCACAAAAGGGCTGAAGAGAGCTTGGCAGCAGCTAAGGACACCTGCTGTTCTTTTAACTAGTCAAGTTTGGTTCCTAGGACCCACTTCTGGTGACTCAAAATTCCCTGAAACCCCAGCTCCATGTGATGCTTGCTTCTGGAATCTGTTGGAACTTGCATCCATGTGCATACCACACGCACAGACACACACACACCCCTAATCTTTTAAGAAACAACAAAGCCCTTTACTCTCAGTACTTGGGAGGCAGAAGCAGGAAGTTCTCTGTGAACTGGGGCAGCCTGATTTATGCCAAAGAGTTCCAGGACAGACAGCCATGGCTACCTAGTGAGACCCTGTTGCAAAAGACAAAACAATCAAAAGGAGTAACACAAATCCCTTGAGCCTTTCCTCATTTCCCTGAGGGAACACTGTGAGCTGGGGTAGCGCTCACAGCCAGAGCACAAAATCTGATGCAATCTGGAGAGCCTATCCAGATTGCCCCAGCTTCCTGAGCTTTGCTGACTGCACTTCAGGCCGTTGCCTAGGGTGGCCTTCAACTCTGATCCATTTACTTGTGTTCATTTGCCTGTTTTTCACCACTACAGTCAGGGTAGCGAACAGCTCTGCCACAAGAACCCTGCTGTCCTCTCATGCATCAGCACCTTGCCCCCCAATCCCATCTGCTGGCAACCACTCATTCTTTCCTTATTTCAAAAATGTTATACAGACGCACAGACACGTGCACGAATGTTGTGTTGCACATCTTTAACCCCCACACTCAGGAGGCAGAGGCAGGTGGGTCTCTGTGTGTCTAAGGGCAATTTGGTCGACAGAGTTCCAGGACAGTCAGAGCTACACAGAGAAACCCTGTTTGTATAAAGATGTTATACAAACCTGGGAACAGTGGCGCTCGCCTATAATTCCAGCTACTGGGATGCGAAGGTGGTAGAATCACGAGTCCCAGGCTGACCTGGGCAGACCATCAGCTTACAGAGCTGCTTGTCCAGCATGCACAAAACTCTAGGTTTGGTCCCCAGCATCATATAAACTGGGGTTAGTGGGCCATGCCTGGTGAGGGCAGGAGGACTGAGAATTGAAGGTCATCCTCTCAGCTACACAGCTATCAAAGCCAATACAGTTAACATGAGACCTGTCTCACATAAGAAAGAAAAAGGCTGGCGGTGGTGGCCTTTGACTTTAATACCAGCACTTGGAGGCTTAGGCAGGCACATCTCTATGAGTTTGAGGTCAGCCTGATCTACAAAGTGAGTTCCAGGACTTCATGAAGAAACCCTGCCTCAAAAAAAAAGGGGGGGGGAGCCTGTTGATGATGTATTCCAGCCCTGGAAAGGAGGAGCAGCCTGGTGACCTCAAAACTGCTGGCCAGCCTTCCAAACACAGTGAGACTCTGTGTCAAATAAACAGGGATTGGTGGAGCGAGAGAATGTTATATAAATAGATTCATAAAGCGGATAATCTTTTTTCTGACCAGTGTAATTCTCTGTAGATTCATTCAAGTTATCTGTAGTAAGTGGGCTATGGTAGTGTAATCCCAACACTTGGGAGGATCAGGAGTAGAAGATCATCCTCCATTACAAAGCAAGTTTGAGGCCAATCTGGGTTACATGAGATGCTATCTCAAAACAAAAACAAAAACCAGACTGCAGTTCATCTGTACCCCATTCACCTCCTGGAAGGCATCTGTGCCATCTCCAGTGTGGCGCTGAATAGTGCAGCCACCACACACATTCACTACAGGTTTGACATGAACCTAAGTTCATTTCTCTGGGAAAAACACCAGAGTGCTGCTCCTTTGTTAGAACACATTTAGTGTTATAAGAAACTGTTCTGAGTTACTGCTCCAATATGCTTAACCCAACACTATTTTCTTTTAAATATGTTTTTTAGATTTATTCATTTTTATTTTATGTGTATTGGTGGGGTTTTGTTTGTTTGTTTTGTTTTTTGAGGCAGAGTTTCTTTGTAGCTTTGGAGCCTGTCCTGGAACTCGCTCTGTAGACCAGACTGGCCTTGAACTCACAGAGATCTGCCTGCCTCTGCCTCCCAAGTGCTGGGATTCAAGGTGTGCGCCACATCTGCATGTTGGTGTTTTACCTAAATGTATGTGCATGCCTGGTGCCAGTGGATTCTAGAAGGCAGCACTGGGAGAGTGGTGTTCATGGAACTGGAGTTACGGATGGTTGTGACCCACCATGTGGGTGCTGGGAACTGACAGAGCAACAGGTGCTGTAGGTGCTGTCTTCTTTCCACTCCACCCAACACAGTTTATACTGTTCTTCCTACAAGCCAATCTCTGCTCTTCCCACAAAAGACCGAACATCCCTCTTCGGCAGCATTGTCTTGTTTTCTAATTTCCAAACTCCCTGGACTTTCCCTTTTTCTTTGCACAGGAGTGAGGCTCTTGGTGAGGAGGCCACAGCCCATGACCCAGCAGTCTGGACCTGCTGGGCTGGAGAGGAAGAGCTGCTCCTCTTGCTCTCAGCCCCCCCCCATCACCTCTGCAAAGTTTCTACTAATTGGTTACCCATCATGGCCACCTAAGGAAGCTCTGGTCACTCTGCTCTTGCCATCGAAGATTCAGTGGCACCTGGCTCTGTCTTCCTTTGGATTCCATGTCCTTACTTGATCACGAGCTTCCACCACCATGGAGAGGATTTATGACCAGAGCTCCAGAACCTCTGTTTTGGCTAAGGGAAGCTGGTGTAGGGGGTTCTTCTGTCTTTGTGTTGCTTTCATTGGTTAATAAAGAAACTGCTTTGGGCCTGTTAATAGGACAGAACTTAGGTAGGCAGGGAAAACAGAACTGAATGCTGGGAGAAAGCAGGGCCGAGTGGGAGAGACGCCATGGATCAGCCTGAGACAGACGCTGAAAATCTTACCCGGTAAGCCACTGCCACGTGGCGATACACAGATTAATAGAAATGGGTTAAATTAAGATGTAAGAATTAGCCAATAAGAAACTAGAGCTAATGGGCCAAGCAGTGATTTAATTAATACAGTTTCTGTGTGGTTATTTTGGGGCTAAGCTAGCCAGTTAGCCAGGACGAACAAGTGGTCTGGCGCTCCCTCCAACAGGAAACGGTTTCTAAAACTCACACACTATATATATGTATATATATACTATATATATGAAACTATAGCTATGTGTGTGTGTGTGTGTGTTGAGACAAGGTTTCTCTGTGAAGCCTTGGCTGCCCTGGAACACCTGCTTCTGCCTTCTGAGTGCTGAGATTAAAGTGTGCATCACCACCGCCCAGCTCAAAACACTACATCATTTTTTTACAAGGAATTGTCACCCTGTCTCTACTTAGCTTAACTAATAATTTTACTTAAGATTCTCAGAAATCTGGGCTGGAGACATGACTCAGCGGCTAGAGCACAAACCGCTCTTCCTCCCAGAATCTATAGTGCTTTACAACCTCTTGTAACTCCAGTTCCAGGGGGTCTAAAACCCTCTTCTGACCTCCAAGGATCCTGCACACATATGGTTCATACACACACAAAATAAACTAATAACATTTAAAAGATTATTATAAGAAACTTAGATTTCTCAATCCCCAGCTCCAACCTGAAATGCTGCAATGTTTGAACTTTCAGAGCACTGCCTGACATGAGTGGAAAATTCCACATGTGATGTCATATGATGGGCTGCAGGCAAAATGCAGGCTCACCAAAGATATACCGAATTATCTTCAGCTTATGTGGAATGGAAGCTATGAAACAAAAAAAAATATTCCATGTTTAGACTTGTCTCTCAAACCTAAAATACTTCATTGTATAATTGAAAATTTTTCCTCCATCCCACCCCCAAAAATCACACCTCTGAAATCTGAAACAGTTCTGTTCCAAAGTGTGCTGAAGAGTTTTTTGTCAACTTGACACAAGTAGAGTCATCTGGAAAGAGAGAATTTCAAGTGAGACAATGTCTCCACCACACTGGCCTGGGGTCAAGTCTGTGAGGGAATTTGGTGATTGATGAATTATGTTGGAGGGTCTAGCCCACAGTAGACAGTGTTACCCCCTAGGCAGATGGTCCTGGGTTCTAGAAGAAAGCACGCTGAGCAAGACATGGGGAGCAAGTCAGAAGCAGCATCCTGGCCTCTGCGTCAGTCAGCTCCTCCCTCCAGGATGAACTGGAACTGCAAGATGGAATCAACTTTTCCTTCCACATTGCTTTCGGTTGGATTATCACAGCCACAGAAATCAAACCAGGACAGAGGTCGGTACCAGAAAGTGTCTACTGCTGTGATAACATGTTGCTTTGGGGAGGACTGTGGAAATGTTTGGAACCTTGGGCTGGAAAAGCATTGAGTGCTCGGAGCTGAACAGGCTGTAGTGTGGGAGCAGGAAGAACACTAAAAAGCAGGTTGGTCAGCACCATTCCTTCATCCAGGCTTCAGTTCCCTGGTCAGCTTGAGGCTCTGCCTTGCCTTCACCTCAATAACGGACTGTCATCAGGACATGTAACCCCAATAAACCCTTTCCTCTCCAAGTGCTTTTTGTCTGGCCTTCTTCGTAGTGCAGAAAATAAAGAAGATATTGGTACAGAGAGGGAGTAAGGACTAGTCATCCTACACCAATTTCAAAGGGATGATTTTTTTCTCTTTTTTCTTTTGGTTTTTTGAGACAGGGTTTCTGTGTAGCCCTGGCTGTCCTGAAACTCACTCTGTAAACCAGGCTGACCTCGAACTCACAGAAATCCGCTTGCCTCTGTCTCCCTAGTGCTGGGATTAATGGTGTGCGCCACCACTGCCAGGCCAAAAGGACCCAATTTTTAATTTAAAAGATTTATTTATTTTTACTTCATGAGTGTTTGCTGCATGTATGTATGTGTATCACATGTATGTCTAGTATCCACAAAAAGCAGAAAAAGGTGTTGGATCCCCTGGATCTAATTGGAGCTACAAAGAGTTGGGAGTCATTTGACATGTACTTCAAGATCAGCCAGTGTTCTTAACCATCGAGCCATCTGTCCAGCCCCGTATGTCCAGATCCAGAAGGGTATCTTTAGTTTACTTTTTTGTTTTTTTCTATGTTGAGGTCAGACATGGATCTTATCAGTCTGCAGTGAGACAGACTGCTCAGATATTTTCCTCAGACCTTCTGGAAGGATATCTTTAAGAGAAACAATCTCAGCCTTGCTAGACAGCCTTGAGGGGCTTCTCAACAATTCAGAGCTACTCTGAAGATTTACGGGGTTTCAGGTGAAGAGTGTTACAGACGGTTTGTTCTCTGTAAAGGTACTCTGTTGGGAACCAAAATATGATATGTAACATATAATTTAATTTGCTCCTTGCTTCCCTCCTATGAAACATCAATTTAAAATATAGGAAACAAAAACTTTAAATATAAACTATAAAATTCCTTTAAGAAATTTCTTGACTTTTTAAAAAAACAGTTTTATTTATTAACAGACAGGCTCTCATTATGTATCCCTGATAGCTCTGAACTCACGGTCTAGCCCTGGGCTCTAGGATTATAGGCATGCACCACCACACACCATTCAGGAACCTTTAAATTTCTGTCAGTTTACAAAAGCAGGCAAGCTGCCATAAAAGGATACAAAACTGACCTAAAAGATAGTCTCGGCTGTGTCCCCTACGGAGGCACAAAGCTCCATTCTCACACAAACCCTTCCTTCTCATCATCCTGACTTTTTCAGAACAAGCAAGTGAGGTTCAGCACCTCTTCCAGGACTAATAAGTGGCCAGGGTAGGATTCAAGCCCACAGTTCAGTCTGTCCCTTCACGAGGTCACTAACTTTATAAAACAAACAGAGAACTTTAATTCCTGTCCTTGGAATTTTTTTTTTAAATTTATTATGTATTCAATATTTATTATGTATTCTCCTGCAGGCCAGGAGAGGGAACCAGACCTCATTACAGATGGTTGTGAGACACCATGTGGTTGCTGGGAATTGAACTCAGGACCTTTGGAAGAGCAGGCAGTCACTTAACCTCTGAGCCATCTCTCCAGCCCCCCTGTCCTTGGAATTTTTTTGTTTGTTTTGTCTTGTTTTTCGAGACAGGGTTTCTCTGTAGCTTTGGTGCCTGTCTTGGAACTAGCTCTGTAGATCAGGTTGACCTCGAACTCAGAGATCCGCCTCCCTCTGCCCATCACTACCTGGACACAATTCTTATTAAAACAGGTACTACAGAAAATCATCAAAACACACAGAACAAGGAAGCCACTAACACTTCTTTCCTTCTTTAGGAAAAGGATTCTACTTTTGGAGCAGACACTACAGTGCGTAACACTTCACTGCCAACCAGTCGTTTAACTACATGAAATAACAGTGGCCCACCAGCTTCTCACTGACCATTTATAATACGGGTCTGAGGAAGAATACAGTTTGCACTGCACTGAGGAGGCAGAACCAGGCAGCTGGATCTGTGTATGAGGCCAGCCTGGTTTACACAGCAAGTTCCAGGTCAGCCAAGGATATACTACTTGATTTTGGAGCTCCTCTGGGGAGCAGCAAAAGAGAAAAGAAGTAGGGACTAAAAGATGAGTGAGGGCGGTGGTGGGACCGGAATCTAATCTTTCTCAGGTGCCCTGGGGCAACACCGAGCGGCGGCAGGAGATACACCTGCGGGGCTCAGCAAGTTGGCCAGAGGTCCAGGCCTGGGGAAGGGTGGGCCTCCCGAGACAGGTGCATCCGCTGAGCCAGGGCCTCGCACGGAGAGAAAGGAGCAAGGCGGTCAGGCAATCGTGCCCTGCCACCGGGGTCCAAGTCAGCCGCACCCGAGGGGCGGGGCCTGGCATAGGTGGGCGGAGCTAAGCCGCGCGAAGAAGGGCGCGGTCTCCGGAAACCTGGGAGCCCGGACCAATTTCGAGCCACCCAGTCGCTACGGACAGCAAATCTAATCAGGTCTATGTATTTACCTACCTGTCGGCGAGAGAAAAGAGCAGTCCCTGGCTGCAGCACCCTAGAGCCGCAACGCTGGCACAGTACCGCCTTCCGGTTCCGGCCCTCGGCTGACACTAGCTCGTTCTGCAGCTCAGCCGGTTCCATCGCCGCGCCGCCACAGCATGGGCCACAACAGCGCACGCGCGATTTGGGTTCGTTCACCCGGAACTACGCTGGCGCGGCTCCGCCGGGGCGGAGCGCCCGGTGCTCCTCGCTGTACCTCTGCGCAGGCGTCTGGACTCTGTTGCGCAGGCGCCTTTATTTGTTGCCGGCCCGAAGTGTCAGTTTGACTTTGTGACAAATCTTTTCTCTGTATCGGGCCTAGGCGTGTCTATGGCCGCCTTACCATTGCCTCGACAATCTGGGTCAGACCTCAGCAAATTTAGCTAATATACATTCGCTTCTAATGTAAGAAGCAGTGTAGATTGTTGAGTATATTTTGTGTTGGAAAAAGTTACGTGGAAATCTTAAGCCGGGTGTCTAACAGTGGCCATTTATTAGGCATCAAAGCGATTTTTACAGTGCTTTTGAAAAACGTAGTCACCGCCTTAGAGGGTTTGCCCTCAGGCGCAGTGCAAGAAGAAAGCAAAGATAAGTTTAGTTTGTGCGTTCCAAAACCACGGCTCTAACTGATCTTTGTATCTCATTAGTTCTAGTTTGTAGGTTTACCAAGACTAGAAGGACATCAGAACGAGAAACGATTAAACCTTATTAACATTCGCGATCTTTGCTCTCTTCATTAGTTCCACAATTCACGATGGGAATTGTGAGGGTCGCAGACTCTAATATCATAGTACAATCTCAGGAACAAAGTACTGCCAATAAAGCATGGATTGGGAAATAGTATGTCTACGGAGTTAGGACTTTAGCTTTGTGGGTTTTTTTTTTAATATTTCTTGTGTTTTACCTGTGTGTAGGTAAGTGTACAGTGTGCATGCTGGTGCCACTGAAGGCCAGAAGAGGGTACACGATGCCTGGAACTAGAGTTAACCCTTGTAAGCCCCAAGTGGATGCTGGGAACCAAGTCTACATACTCTTAACCACTGACCCATCATCTCTCCAGCCCCACTAGGTGGCATTTTGATCCAGAATTTGGGTTGTCAGGAAAGCAATCCTTCAGAATGGGATCAAATTTAAGAATGGGTGGCAAACCAGTGACTGGAACAAGAGTGCAGAATGGTAGAATATGCCCCTCGGCACCATGAGGCCAGTGTGTGTTAAGGAATTTGAACTTTATATAGACAGGAAATGTGAATCTATGGAACTTGAGGGCAGAAACAACTTCAATATTGACCAATTATTGGCTGTATAATAAATACTGCAATGGTTACATCTGACAGACTAGGGGGATAAGTGCTCATATGGATTTTCTTCTCCTACCCAGTACCTTCCCTCGCTCTCTCTCAAAGATAAACGAACATTGCACCGGCCACATGTGGTTCAATTAGCAGGCACAACTCATCTGCTAGGACAGGCGAAAGGGCTTTATCCTCTTGTTCTGCTTTCTTTAGCTCTGGAACCAACAGTCTTGTTGTTTTCGTTGGTTATGGTGGAGCATGCCTTTAATTCCAGCGCTGGGGATGAAGAGGCAAGTTGATTTCTTCCAGTTCAAGGTCAGCCTGGTCTACACAAAGAGTTCCCAGGACAGAGTTCTACAGTGAGATAGTGTCTCAAATAAAAAAAAAAAAAGAAAGAAAAAAAATCCAAGTCTTTCAGTTGTTTGGCAGGCCTTGTGCAAGGCTTGTATATCTATATTTCTTTTGTTTGTTTTTTGGTTATTTGAGACAGGGTTTCTCTGTTTACCCCTGGCTGCTCTGGAACTCACTCTGTAGACGAGGCTGGCCCCGAATTCAGTGATATGTATGCCTCTGCCGCCCAAGTGCTGGGAGCTAAAATTGTGCACCACCATGGCCCGGCTTTTATTTTTTTCTTCTTTGTTTTCCTGTAGATTCCAAGTATGAAAGGGGCCAATAAATTGGGCAAATCCAGGCAAACATTTCACTGATATTTCAAATGTACCAAAGAAGCAACAGAGGTCACTGGCAAACATGAGGTAAACAGGTTGGAAGATGAGACCAGGAGCTGTTCTTTATCCTGTCCTCCAACATGTTTGTTGAAGGCAGAAGCAGCCACAAATCCTCTTGAAGCTATTTCAGACAGTCCATTTTTAATATTTTCTTAAAAAAATACAAAGGAAATTAACTCTGTAGGCCAACACATTTAGGGGAAGGAGGGAGAAGTGGAATTCCAGAGCAAAGGGAAAATGTAGCCCAATTTAGGCTATCACCTTCCCATACTTGCTATAGCAGTAATGTAAGAATTTCACCCTATGACAGACACAGGGAGCCTTGAGCGGCAGTTCAGAAATGCTGGCAGAGGTGTGGGAACTAACAGGTCTTCCGCTGCCCTTGATTATTTTGTTCCAGGATGAATAGAACACACTTTGAAGATAGGTAAAGAGAACGTAGCAGAAGAACCAAATGTACCACACACAGCAGAAGTGTGCCCTTAGAACAACAGGGCAATAATCAGGTACCCCCACCCCCTCCCCAAATAAATAGCATGGAAGGGCAGTAATGTAGTAGCACGTGATTCACCAGAAAGTTGGTCTTTCACCCATTCAAAAACAAACACTGCTACAGTGGCATGAGCCTGGTGGGATTAAGACGATTGTAAAGTCACAGGTACTTCTGTTTACCACAGGTTGATTGAACTCTGCACATTTACACACAACCCTTATTCTAACTTTTTCTTCCACTGTTATCTCTTAGTCTCCAATGCCAACATGGTACAATATTCTACATTAGAAAGACCATGGGGATTCAATCCGAGGCACGTGCATTAAGAGATGGCAGAGTCCAGGAAACTCTTCCCAGGCTGGCCTGGGAGGAACACCTTGACGGTGCCTCGGGAACTGCAGCTGCCCCGGACAAAGAGAGACCAATCGGCCTTCAGAGAGATCAACAAGTGATGACATCCAAGAAGGGAAGAAAGTTCTGAAACTCAAAATCGAAATGGCCGATAAAGAAAATATTGACAACACAGTTGAAAAGAATTACATTCCATTAAAAGCTGATGAAGTCACCGGTCAGACATACACAACTTGAAGGATAATATTCAGGCCATCCAAGCCCAGACTATGACATCAGACCAGGCTGTCACCGTAAAGACAATAAAAAGATGCAACTGCAGAGAAGCCCAAACAGGACGCTAACAGGAATAAAAAAAATGAGAGCTCGCGAATGTCAAAGGAGAGAGTCCTGCAGCCACCAAAAAACTTCCCTCAAAGGCTCAGTCTGCGCCTGGAAACGCTGTCAGTATAAGAGCCTCAAATGTGACTGCTGCCACCAAGTTTGTAAACACCAAATCTGTGAGCACTACATTTAAGAATACCCTTGTGTGACCACCTATTAGAAGCCTCCACAGTAATACCCAGGGCACTGGGAAACAGGGCCCCGGCAGGACCCTTGCCAATGTTACAGTCAGAAAAAGGCCCCTTGAAAAAGACTCACTGCGATCAGAACGGGTTCTCTCTGTCGTCAATACCATCCTCAGGACACAGGAGAGATAAGGCACTGTCAAGAAGCATAGATCTGAAGGTGTAGCCAGGACTAATTTGTCTAATACCAGACTGGTAGAAAAGTCGAAAGCTATTGACCAGCGCAGGTACTCAGCAGCAGGAGCAGCTGTCCATAGGTCAGTTCAGCCCAGAGAAACCACGTAAGAAAGAAAAGCTCGGATGACTGAGTGGAGAACTGGCAAAGGGAAAGGGCTAAAAAGGCCTCCTAATTTAATAGCTAATCAGTCTGAGCCACAAGGACAAAACAAAAACCCAGTCGGGTCCTTCTGGACTACCATGGCAGAAGAAGATGAACAGGGATTATTTACTGAAAAAGTAAACAAAACAAATTCTCAATGCCTGAACCTGATTAATAAGAAGGGATGCCCAGAAGAAGAAATTTTAGACACAGTGAATGACCTGATTCATAATATTCCAGATGCCAAAAAACTTGTTAAGTATTGGATATGTCTTGTACATATGGAGCCAATCACAAGTCCTATTGAAAATATTATCTCAATCTCTGAGAAGGCCATTTTGGCAGGGGCTCAGCCTATTGAAGAAATTCCCCAAACAATCATAGATATTCTAACAATGAAGAGTCAAGAAAAAGTTAACTTGGGAGAAAATACTGAGGAGGTTCATGAAACCAAGGGATATTGCTGGGAAGTAAAAATTAATGACACTCTAGAGCCAGGAGATCTAGGAGCAGAAAATGAGTGTCAGAGGAATGTTCAAGTTTGTGAAAACAGCAGAGACCAGAAGCAAAGGATCCAACCAACCATTTTATAACCCCTGATTCAAAAACTGAAGCAGGCTGCCTAATTAGATATAATGTATCTTCTACACCATGCTTGCAAAGTTTGAAGAAGATGCAACATGGTAAAAATTCCACATTTAAAGAGCTACTAAAGTTTCTCACACCGGTGAGGCATTCAGGAGAAGACTTCTCAATTGCCAGACACGTTAAAAGACCCTGACCCTTCTGTGTCCTCGCTGGAACAGCTGTCTGAGTTGGGGGAGGATGCTTTCATTTGCCGTCCTAACGCAGCTCTGTGCCCTCTGTTCTCTGAGACTCACCTAGCGGGACAGAAACAGTGCTCCTGAGCAAGGAGGGTTGTGTTATTCCTGTGGTGGTTTCACGTATGCAGGTCTGAAGCTGTCCATATGCCTAAGTACAGTACAGTGAACCTCATTAGCTTGTTTATTGTCTCTAAAATATGCTAGCTTCTTCACTTTACTAATTACTTACAACAATGAAGCGTAGTCAGAAAATGTAGTTTATATAAATTTATATTTTACATTGACTTTTTACCTACATTTATAATAAATATCTGTATAATGTTCTAATGATATTTTATTTATTGATTGACTTAGTTAATGCTGGAACTGACTTTAGGACCCTACTATGGGGCTACAGTCTGCTGCAATATGCATTTATTTCAGCAACTACATTATGTGGATTCAGAGTGTGGTCCCAATCGAGTACTGCCCTAACATGTGCAAGGCCGTGGATCCAGTCCTTAGCACCGCAGGAACAAAAACTTTGACCATAGTAACCAGATTTAAACTTTGCCTTTGAAATACATTGCTAAATTTTTAAAATAAAAAAAAAAAAGAAAGACAGACCATGGGGTCAAATAATATGTCCTCTCCAGCCTTCCAGTTTACACGTCAGGGCTCTTCTGGGCTCACTCGAATTGCAATTAGTTCATGCCACTAATCCCAATCTCTACACCAACCATGCTCCTAAGTGAGAGTAGCGTGACTCCTCTCACCCTCTCAAATTTTAAGAGTGATCTCTTGGTTTCCTCCAGAAAGGAACTGTGGTGGCCGGAGCTACTTTTGTATTTAGAAAAGATGTGTTTGCTTCTGGCAGGGGGAATTACTTTCATTTTTACCAAGTTTATGTAAGTTGATATCCTTCCAGTCATCTAGGATGGTCACTGCCCACACTTAGCAGGCCATACTCACCTTAATTCTCTGCAATATATGAAGCACAACATACATACATACATACATACATACATACATACATACATTCTCCCAAGCACACTAAGTTAGAAACTGTAAGAAAGTGCTCCTCAGACCAGAGAGAGAGAGAGAGATGATCTGGTTTCTCACATCCACACGTGCAGTCTCTTCCCTTGAGTACCTGTCACCCACCCTTCTGAGCAGCATGACCCGTGTGAAGGAGAGTGCGTATCAAATAAGTACAATCATCACAGTACTGGTGCCTGTAGTCACCCTGTGCACACAGCGAGAAATAAACATTCTGGAAAGGATCCTTGATTCTCCCACAATCTGTTCCGTGGAGTAGTCATTAGCTCCAGCTGGCGCTCAAATAAGTTACTTTTCTCGGAGAACACACACACCAGCATCACAACGCTGGGTTCCCATGGAGGCCACTACTTCCCAGCTGTCGATGATTGGGTCATAACACTCAATGCTACTCAGCAGAGAATTCCCATCATATCTAAGAGGGAGAAAAAGCAAAAGAAATGAGGTTGTCATTCCTTTACGTAAAAGTCCTACATTTAAAGTAGCCCCGGGAGCTGGTAGGTCAGCTTAGCAATGGGGTACTTGCCTACCACATGCGAGGTTCCATCCCCAGTACCTGGGGTAGGAGGGAAACAGTCCCAGCAGTTCTTCCCCCACCACACATTTTGCCTCTTTCCAAAATGGTGATTGCATCAAATAGATTCTTGCCTTGGATACATAATTCTACCACACTTTCAAAATCCTCACCCTGCAATTGCATAAAGTCTTCCCCGAAGTACCGTGGCCCCTACATAGCATCGTGGAGTGGTCATACTCGTGACAGTTGTCCAGGAATCAGTGCGAATGTTGTAAGCTTCAACAGAAGAAAGGTGGGCCGTACCATCAAACCCCCCCACCACATAAATATGGTCATTCAGCAGGGCTACTCCAGCACCTGGAGAAAAAGAGAGGCGTAGTAAATGAATGGCACTAAGCCTATCATCTGAACCCAATTAACAAGACATGGTCACTAATGGCCCAATTGTGGAGAAGGTGGGATGCAGATGTAAGTAAAACAGGACTAGAAAAGTTCAATACAAAAAAAATGTTATTCCATGTATTGATAAACCCCTTGGCTAGGACCTGAAATTATAACTGAGAGACTGGCATGGTTCTCTTCTTTGCATTCATTAACTCACAGTCCATCTCTCTTCAGTCGGAGGAAAAGGTGTTAGTAATGGTGGAAGCAGCAAAGGACCAAGGCCATGGTGCTGCTGTGATTTCTGTCCAGAGGCAGTTCACCGGAACAGCAGTGCTTGCTGCTACATCACAGCCCACTCCACATCAGGAGTTCTCAACTGCTGCTGGGACGTACCTCTGTGGTAGCATACTTGCCTAGTACATGCAAGGCCCTGTGCAATACTCAGAATTAAAAAAAAAAAAGATTTTATCCTTAGGTATTAGAGAGTTTACGTAATTTACTGTCAGTTATTTATCAGGTGTACGGCACGTATCTGCAATCCCAATATTCGGGAGACTGAAGTTGGTGTGAGCTACATACTACATACAGTGAGATCTTAGATTTTAAAAAAAGACATGGTGTATCTGGAAGCCAGAGCAGGAGGACCACCTTACAGCAAGCTGTGCACCAACCAAGACTACACAGTAAGACCCTCAAAACAAAATCCAGGAAGAATGCCAGGTGGTGGTGGTACACGTCTTTAATCCCAGCACCTGGGAGGCAAAGACAGGAGGATCTCTGTGAGTTCGAAATCAGCCTGGTCTACAGAGTGAGTTCCAGGACAGGTTCCAAAGCTACAGAGTAATCCTGTCTCAAAAAACCAAAAAGTTCAGGAAGAAGTAGTGGAGAACACCTTTAAGCTCAGCACTCAGGGAGGCAGGTGGATCTCTGAGTTTGAGGTCAGCCTAGTCTACAAAAGCGAGTTCCAGGACAGCCAGGGCTACACAAATAAACCCTTTCTCAGGGAAAAAAAAATAAAAAATAAGTCCAAAGAGTTTTAAAAATCAAAAACACAAAACTCAACAGAATAAAAACATTGATTTAAACATGTATTTCACACATAAAGTTATGCAAGCTAGATAAGAATGCAAGGGCTGGAGAGATGGCTCAGAGGTTAAGAGCATTGCCTGCTCTTCCAAAGGTCCTCAGTTCAAATCCCAGCAACCACATGGTGGCTCACAACCATCTGTAATGGGGCCTGGTGCCCTCTTCTGGCCTGCAGGCATACACACAGACAGAATATTGTATACATAATAAATAAATAAATATATATTAAAAAAGAATGCAAGAATAGAAAAGGCACTAAAGAACAAGTAAGAAATTTCTGTCTTCCAATTCATCATCTAATTCAAAGTTTACACTGTCTTCACCTAGTATTTATAGAAAGCAGAGGTGAGAGGCCAGACTGTGCCTGTTCACATTGAGTCTATGGCAAGCGAGAAGTACAGCTCCTCTGACCCCACCCACAGCCTATAACTACACCAACACCCCACACCTCGGGACCTTCATCCCGTCGCAGATTTGGTCTTACCAGAACGTTTGGTGGCCATGGGTGTAACATTAGTCCAGTGTCCTGTATGGGGATCATATTTCTCAACTGAATTTAATATATTCAAGCCATCATATCCTCCTGAAAGACAAAGCAGAGAATATTTCAGGAAGAAAGGCAGATGCTCAGGCTCATTTTAGTTGGTCTTTGGTGAGTAATTCAACTCAGTTTTAGTTCTTTCAGAGTTCCAGCTCAAATATGCAACATCCTACATTTTGCTTGCAAGAAAAACATAATCCTATTCATGGAAAAGGTATTGGGATAGCAAGTAAATGCACTTAATTCTGGTAAAAATGATGCCTTCCAGAGTCTGCTAAACATTCCAGACTCATACCTAAACAGTAGATTATTCCGCTGGCCACCACTAGTCCTGCACCCTCTCGAGCTGTCTGCATATCTCCCAGCATGCTCCACTGATCAATGTTTGGGTCATACCGCTCCATACTTGTATGCCGCCTGCTTCCATCAAAGCCTCCAGAGACGTAAATCATATCTGCTCAGAATAAACAAATTAGACATTAAGAATGAGAAATTAAAAAAAAGAATATAAAATTTCTAAGAACCGTGTTCTCCACAAAATTACCCATTGTTAAGGTGGAGGGTTGCACATATGAATGTAATTACAGCGCTTGAGAGGTTCAGGCAGGAGGTTCAGGAGTGTAAAGCCATTCTTCCCCTGTCCCCAACATAGTATTTTTTTCACTGATTATTTGGGAATTTCATGTACCCTGATCATGCTCAATTCACATTCCTCCCAGGTCTACACTTGTGCCCTCCAAAAAAATTTTAAGAAAAAAAAAATACACCAAGTACAGTTTGTGTTGCTCATATACTCAATGGTAAATGGCCAAACTCCCAGTGGCCAGACCCTTAAATAAAACTGAGTCCTTTCCCATCAACCTGATGGAAGTCATCAACTGTGAAGAGCTACATTTCAGCATTTTATTACAAATTTTTCAAAAACTTATTTATTTATTCATTTTCCAAGACAGGGTTTCTCTGTCTATCTTTGGCTGTCCTGGACATCACTCTGTAGACGAGGATAGTCTCAAACTCACAGAGACCCACCTGCCTCTGCCTCCCAACTGCTGGGATTAAAGATATGCACCACCACTGCCCAGCCAGATCTATTTTTATTTTATGTGTATTTATGTTTTACCTGTATGTATGTTTGTGTGAGGGTGTCGGATCCTGGAGTTACAGAGCCAGCCGCCATATGGGTGCTTGGAATTGAAACAGAGTCCTCTACAGGAGCAATGATCTTAACCACTGAGCCATTCCTCCAGCCCTATTATGCTAGATTTTAAGAACCCTCTTCAATGGCTTCCCATCTAGACTGTTTCTTTTCTTTGGGGTGGGGGTGGAGGTGAGGGACAAAGCCATTTTTGACTAGAGACTAAGTTCAAGGCTAGCCTGAGCTATATGAGATCTTATCCCAAGCAAATAAATTTTTTAGTATTTCTTCAAGTTGATTTTTATTATTTCTTAAATTTCCAATTTTATGTATATGAATTGTACATGGTACTATATGACCCTACATAAGGACATTGTAAAAGTATATTTTTACATTATTGTAAAAGTATATTTGTACTCTGAGCATTTTCCCTTTATGTGGTAAGTTATTTAAGTCTCAGAAGCAAGAAAGACTGAACAAAGACATTTAAATTTAAAGTCTGGCATGGTGGCTGATGTGTAAACCCGGGAGGCTCAGGTAGAAAGACTACAGATTCAAGACCAGGGTGGGCTACATAGTGGTATTTGGTGAAACGCATCTCAATTATACATATAAACCAGTGTAAGCCAGGAGGCCAAGGTGTGGTGGTAGAGAGTCCTGAAAACCCAGCACTAAGAAAGGCTGAGGAAGAGGTGGGTGGATTATGAGTTTAAGGTCAATCTGAGCTATATTAAATAGTGAAATTGTTTTAAGAGAAAAAAAAAGAAAAACAAAAACAAAAAGCAAAAATAACCAAAAAAGAACGGTGTATGATGACACACTTAAATACTGAAAAGCATTTGAAGATTACACAAATGGAGTTTATGAAAATATAACCAGCAAAGCCGGGCAGAGGTGGCGCACGCCTTTAATCCCAGCACTCGGAAGACAGAGGCAGGCGGATCTCTGTGAGTTCAATGCCAGCCTGGTCTACAAGAGCTAGTTCCAGGACAGGTTCCAAAACAACACAAAGAAATCCTGTCTTGAAAATTCATAAAAAAAAAAAAGAAAGAAAGAAAAAAAAGAAACTATAACCAGCGCTTTTATTATACAGCACACTGGGACTTGAACACTCAATTTTGTAGCCAGTGTTGAAATGCCAAGAAAAGAGTAGTTTCAGTTAACAAGGACATATCAAAAGGTAAGAATGAGCATCTGAACGTAGACATTTATAGGATGTCATGCTCCTGCCTGACAGTAGAAGGGGTAAGAACAATAATCCAGCTAAAAGAAGATGGAAACACTGTCTGTCATCAAACCTACCTCCCAGTGTAGTAGCTCCAGCAAGGCCTCGTCGCACATTCATAGGGGCCACAGAATACCAGACTCCATCTTCATCTGCTGTGTAGTCTAGACATTCCACTGAGCTGAGGCGGGAACGGCCGTCATACCCACCAATTACATAGATCCGATCGTGCAAGGACACTGAGGCCACATACCGTCTTTTCCGAGTGATGCTCTATGGGTTTGGGAGAGAAGAGAAATAACAGCATTACAGCTGGGCAAGTCCCAGCCCTGCCTTTTCTTTCGATACCCTGCCTCTTTCTATCTTCTTTGCTTCTTCTTTGCCACCAGAAACCTCCTTGTGGCTAAGGGTCATCCCACCTTGTAAGGTGACTGCCCAGAGTGAAATCCTTCGGCCGCATTCCAACGTTTACAAAAGACTTCATGGCACTGTGCCAAGAGATCAAATATCCTTCCCTAAGAAAAGTACTGACATACTGCTAATCCAAGAGCCAGAACTGAAATACCCTAAAGGGTAAGAATAGTCAAAGATTTTCCACGTCTGCTCAGAGATGGTTCTTGTTGATGCAGTACTGAAATCTGAAGGGAGATACAAACTTAGGATTTCAGTTAAACACAACAACCCTGAGTCTAGCACAAGTTGCTAGACTGGCACAAGTTGCTCAGTCTAAACTAAGCTGGGTGTGGTGGTGGTATACAGACCTATAATGCCAGCCATTTATCAGCAAGAAGCAGGATTGCCACAAGTTCAGCCTGAGATACACATTGAGTATCAGGCCCAGTCAGAGATACACAGCAAGACCCTATCTCAAAAAACAATCTAGATGTAGTGGCTCACAGTGCAGCGCTGGCTCTAAAGAGGGTGAGAGGGGAAGAAAGTCTACAAGTCTGAGGCCAGCCAGGGCTACACAGAGACTTTGTCTCAAAAAAACAAACAGAAAGATAGTTTGGTGAGTAAAGGTATTTACTGCCAAGGCTGATGACCCAAGTTTGACCCCTGAAAGATCTCTGACTTCCACACACATGCTATAGCACAGGCATGCTCACATGTGTGGACACACATTAAAGAAAAGAAGAAAGAGCTGGGCAGTGGTGGCGCACACACGCCTTTAATCCCAGCACTCAGGAGGCAGAGGCAGGTGGATCTCTGTGAGTTCGAGGCCAGCCTGGTGTACAAGAGCTAGTTCCAGGACAGGCTCCAAAGCAACAGAGAAACCCTGTCTCGAAAAACCAAAAAAAGAAAAGAAGAAAGAAAGAAACGCAGAAAGAAATAGGAAAAATTCAAGAAACAACCACTTCCACCCAAAGAAAAGAAATTTTTCTACTCTCAAAGCTGATCATTTATGATCTAGTGTCAGCAACCAGTGACACTTAAACTCTGCCAAAAATGGTTCCACCATGACTTACTGGCAAAAAGCTCCACTCCTGTGTCTTGGGGTCATATTTCTCTACCACATCAATGGGAGACTGCTGGCTTCCAAAGCCCCCAACCACCAGAAGCACCTCATTGGCTCCTAAGGACAAAGACAGGAAAAGGCACGTTACTTCATCTTGCCTAGGTAAATATTTACAGGAAAATATAAGTAGAAAGGTTCAAACAGGTTAAGGACGCCTTTTTTTGTGGCACTAGGTATTGTACCTAGGGCTTCCGTGTTCTATCACTAGGTAACCATTCCGATCCCACAATTAAAAATTTTTATTTTAAGGTCTGAAGAGATGGCTCAGCAGTTAAGAGCACAACCATCTGTAGTGAGAACTGGTGCCCCCTTCTGGCCTGCAGACGTACATGCAGGCAGAACACTATAAACATAATAAATAAATCTTTTAAAACATTTTGTTTTAAATTTTAAGACAGGGTCTCACTAAGCTACTCATGCTGACCTTGAACTCACTCTGTGCAGAGCCAGGAGGGCCTTGAACTTTTGAGTCTTAGTTTCCCACACAGCTAGCTTACAAGTCTGTGTCACCAGGCCCAGGCAGGAAGCCTTAGTGTTTGTAGGGCTGTGTGATAGGAAGCTATCTATTTTTATTTTGTGTATCCATGTATTTGAGGGTGAGGGTGTGTGTGTGTGCACGCCAAGGGTCCATACTGCTCTCTGCCTTGTTTTTTGAGACCACCTTACTGAAGCCTAGAGCTCTGCAGTTAGGCTGGACAGGCTCACCAGCCTGCTCAGGGCCTTCCTCTGCTCCACTGCAGCACTTGACTCACGAGTTCTCATGCTTGTGCTGCACTTTAACCGCTGAGCCATCTCCCCACTCAGCAAAGTACTTCTTTTTGTTTGTTTGTTTTTCAGGACAGGGTTTCTCTGTAGCTTTGAGTCTGTCCTGAAACTCACTCTGTAGACCAGGCTGGCCTTGAACTCACACAGATCCACCTGCCTCTGCCTCCCAAGTGCTGGAATTAAAGGTGTGTGTCACCACCACCTGGCAGAAAGGTACTTCTTTCTGAGGCTGTAACTCTCCAAAGCTGTCCACAAGTGCCCCTCCATTCAACACACAAAATGTTAAAAAGAACAAAGGAAGAAAGCTCTTTTATTTTCTTACGCAAAGTAACAGTCTGGACATCAAACTTTCTTTCTCCTACAGTCTTATTTCTGGCCATGGCTCTCTTCAAAGGGCAGTCTTGGCAGAGTTCTCTTGGGCATCTACTCTGTAAATTCATGAAAACAATTTGGTGCACTGGACAATCCAGTAACTAAATGGGCTTGTAAACTTCGTGTCAGACCAGGTGGTGGTACTGCATACCTTTAATCCCAAATAGAGTACTCATACACAAAATACATCAATCTTTATTATTATTATGAGCTACAGACTCTAGACATTATTTTTAAAACAACGAAGGTAACTACATATTTACTGGAATAATGCTGAGGTATGCAAATTAAACATGAATTGCTAACTATCCTGCATTCCACCTGTGGTAATCCTGCTACAGGCTGAGTGTCACAGGTCTTTGCTTCTACCATGAGCTTTTTAAGTGCTGAGGATCAAGCCCAAGGCCTGCCATTTGCAATAAGCACTCCATCACTGAGCTATATGCCTAGCAATGTCCCGTTTTTAAAAATGACTGTTGTTTTATCCTTAGATGTGTAGTCAGCACAGCTTGGTGCTCAGTGGCACAGGCTTGTGTTCCAGCGACTTAGGAAGTGGGAGCAAGAGAACTAAGAACTTTAAATGTGACAAGGTTACAGAGAGAATTTCTACTTCAAAAAGAAAAACAGAAAAAGCTGGGGCCAGGGAGCTGGCTCAGCAGGAAAAGGTATTTACCACCAAGTTTGAGAACCTGAAATGTGAGCCCCAGGACCCATGTGGAGGACAGAGAGGTGACTTTTGCAAGCTGTCCTCTGACCACCACACACGCCAAGGTGATAAATAATAATAGATAATAAAGAAACGATAAAAGTCCCAGCTATGCATACATGACTCAGTGTTTTGTTTCCCACAACACCTGACTGTATGGTCATATTATAATTCATTCATACCTCTACAGATGGAACTTGGTTTGTATATCTTTTTTTTAACCAATAATTTATCATAAACATACCCATCCTTATATAATAGATAGTAATTACCTCCCTCCCCCCATTCCAACAAGAATACTTAGAATAAAAGCAATATATGGCTGGTATAATTTTTCCCTTGGCTCAGCAATATGAATATATGTAATACTTTTTACATTTATTTATTTACTTATTTATTTATTTCTTTATGGTTTTTCAAGACAGGGTTTCTCTGTAGCTTTTGAGCCTGTTCTGGAACTGACTTTGTAGACCAGGCTGGCCTAAAGCTCGCCTGCCTCTGCCTCCCAAGTGCTGGAATTAAAGGCATGCGCCACCACCACCCTGCTATTTAATACTATTTTTATGATGAGAAAAGTTAGCATATATTGTAATTAGAAAAATAAAATGGGTGTGGTGACTCATGCCTGTAATCCTGCGGCTTAGAAGCTGAGTCATGACTGCTTGAGTTCAGGGTCAGCAGGTGGACACAGTAGCTCTAGGCCAGACAGGACTACAAGCAGTATGAGAGCCCATCTAAAAACAAGAGAACAAAACAAATCCTCCAAACCAAACAAAAAAGAAACAGAAGTTAGACCAATATTTTCCTATAACTTATTGTTATACTTTATTTATCCCTTAATATATATTTTGTATATAGTTTATGATATACAGAACACATTTTGTCATCCTGCAGGAATTAGTACCTTTCTTAGCCGTTTTTGGTAGATTTTTTTTTGTTTTTCTGAGACAGGGTTTTTCTATGTAGCACTAGCTGTTTGGAACTATATAGACCAGACTGACCTCAGAGATCCGGCTCCCTCCACCTTCCCGAGTGCTGGGATTAAAGGCGTGCACCACCACTATCCGGCTTTTTTTTTTTTTTTTTGCGGGGGAGGGGGGATGCGTTGTGGTTCTAAGACAGGGTTTCTCTGCATAGCTTTTGGAGCCTGTCCTGGAACTTGCTCTGTAGACCAGGCTGGACTCAAGCTCACAGAGATCTGCCTGCCTCTGCCTCCCGAATGCTGGATTAAAGGTGTGCACCACCACCGCCCAGCTTCTTAAAAAAAACATGTGTAAAGAATTTTCCCCCCTTTTTAAAGATTTATTTATTTGTTATATAGTGTTCTGTCTGCATGTATGCCTGTAGGCCAGAAAGCAGCACCAAATCTCATTACAGATGGTTGCAAGTCACCATGTGGTTGCTGGGAATTGAACTCAGGACCTCTGGAAGAGCAATCAGTGCTCTTCTTAACCTCTGAACCATCTCTCCAGCCAAGTATTTTTTAATTTATGTATTTTTAATGATTTATTTATTTTTATTTTATGTGCACTGGTGTTTTGCTTACCTCTATGTCTGTGTGAGGGTGTCATATCCTTACAACTGGAGTTGTGACAGTTGTGAGCTGTCACACGAGCAGTGAACCCAGGTCCTCTGGAAGAGCAGCCAGTACTCTTAACCACTGAGTCATCTCTCCAGCCCCATGTGTTTTCATTTATGCATGTGTGTGTTCCTGCATAGGTTTATGTGTAGTACAAGTGTGCAGATGTCTGTGGAGACCAGAAGAGGGCCTCAGATCCCCTGAACTGGAGTTGTCAGTAGTAGTGAGCCACCTCATGTGGGGCTTTTGAAAGAGCAGTAAGTGCTCTTAACCCTAAGCAATGTCTCAAGCCCCAGTTCTTTTTCTCCCTCACTCCTCTCTCTTTAAATATGTATCTTTAGAGGCTGAAGAGATGGCTCAGAGGTTAAGAGCACTGTGCTCTTCCTGAGGTCCTGAGTTCAATTCCCAACACCCACATGGTGGCTCACAACAGTCTGTCTGTAACTCTAGTTCCAAGGGATCTGATGTCATCTTCTGGCCTCTGTGGGCACCGAACACATATGGTACACATACATGCATACATGCATCTCTCTCTCTCTCTCTCTCTCTCTCTCTCTCTCTCTCTCTCACACACACACACACACACACACACACACACACACACACGTATATTTATATACACACACACAATCCTTAAAAATAAAGTAAAACTAACCCTCATTTTAGAGGTAAAAGCAGAGAAGCAAGTAAGTTTTGTTTTGTTTTCCTGAGACAGGGTCTACTACAGAGTCCTGGATGCCCTGGAACTCACTGTGCAGACCAGGCTGGTCTTGAACTCAAGGGATCAACCTGACTCAGCCTCCTTAGTGTTGGAATTAATGATGTGTGCTAACATACCCAGTTACGATCAGATAAACTGCTATCACCAATTAGTCACTGGTGGAACTTAGATCTGAACCTATGTCTGTTTGTTAAAATTATAGCTAGCATAGGTACCACTTCTGTGACAATAACTGTCCTAGCCTTTACCTACATTTCTTCATTTAATCACTGTAACTTTGTTAGAGCTACATTGCTTCCCAGTTCACAGATAAGGCAACTGAAGCACAGACAGGTTAAACTTCCTTCTAAGGTAAATGGTAAACTGGAAATCTGTACCACAAATCTGGCCTCAAAAGTCAGGATTTTACGTATTGTATGTGATTGCTAAAAGCCCTGTATTTCAGGATTTTTTTTTTGTTTGAGACAATCTCTCATGCTGACTTTTAGCTTTCTATGATGTACCCAAGGATGACCTTAATCTTCTGCCTCCCTTACTTCTTAATTATAGGCAATGACTACCATATCCAGTTTATATTGTGCTGGGGAATGAAATGTCTAGGGCTAGGAAAGCACCCTACCAATTGAGCTACAACCCCAACTCTTAGCCCTTTGTTTAAATTCTGAAACAAAAATTTAATGCCACATAATATATAATTTATAAAATGTTTTTCCCTCTACCTAGTTTACTCTCCAATAGTTATGTGACATAAAGATACTCTCAGATTATAGAAAATAAAAGTTTAAAACGGCAGTCAGTGCTTTGTCTATGAAGAATAAAAGCAGGTCTGAAATACCATTGTCTGCATTACAGCTGTTATTTACAACTATATCAAACCATCTGAAAAAGGGCTGAAAACTGCCCCTCACGGGGGCTGGAGAGATGGCTCAGCGGTTAAGAGCACTGCCTGTTCTTCCAGAGGTCCTGAGTTCAATTCCCAGCAGCCATATGGTGGATCACAACCATCTACAATGCGATCTGGTGCCCTCTTCTGGCCTGCAGGCATACATGGAGGCAGAACACTGTATACATAATAAATAAATAAAATCTTAAAAAAAAAAAAAACCAACTGCCCCTCACTCTGCCAGGAATACCAGCTTACCTAGACGGGCTCTTGTCCTGGGTCCTTGCATCTGACTCCGAAGTTCAGGCCTCAGGTGAAATTTCTTTGCTTCATCAACTAGATCCCTGCACTGTAAACTACAGCGGATGAAAGGCTAAAATACAGAAGACATTTCTAATATTAAGAACAAAATGACATGAAGAAGCATTTACTTATATCGACACGGTTATTCAGTAAGAATTGTAAGGGAAGCTGAGCATGCTGGCTTCACACCCTGGCAGGCTGAGACAAAGGACTGCTGAGATTTCAAAGCCAATTTAGGGCTACATACTGAGTTCTAGGCCAGCCTGATTTAGAGTGAGACACTGTCTCAAAAAGACAAGACGCATGTTTTCTTTTAGAAAAATAATGTCTTCTCTGAAATAATTTCCCCAAAGCCCTCTCCCCTTCCCTACTTCTTCTCCTCCCCTTCTTTCCCTCTTTTCATCCTTTCATTCTGACAGGGTCCCTGTAGGCCAGGGTGATTGTAAACTTACAACACATCCTAGGACAACTTTAAATACCTGATGCCCCTGTCTTCACCTCCTGAGTGCTGAGATTACAGGCATGAATTCATCATTAGCCCAGTTTCAACATCTATATCCAACAGTGTTCTATATGGGTTCAAGATGGCTTACTTTAGTAAATTCCTTGCCATGTAAGCACAATGACTTGAGTTCCATCACCAGAACCCACATAAAAACCCAGACATGGTACCCTGAACGTGTGATCCCAACACTAGCAGAGAGACGGGTAAATCCCTGGACTTGTTGCCAGCCTAATCAGAAACTCTAGGCCAACCAATAAGAGACCATTTCTCAAAAATCAAGGCAGATGGCCTGAGGAATGGCACCCAAGAATGACCTCTGGCCTATGTGTGCATGCCTATGTGCATACACATACAACCACATAGAAAACAGAACTCTGTTTTAGTATCTGCTCCCACAGATTCTCCGTACCCTCCTCTGTTAGCTCTCTGGTTCAGAAGACTGGCCCATATAAACTGTGTCAGTCTCCATCCTGACTTCTGGCTGGGATGAGTCCCACTGAAGGTCCAGGCTCCTCTCAAAGCAGTGCTTCCACCTGCTTTTTCCCCTCCGGTTCTGAAAACCACTTCTCCACCCAGGCTATTCAGACTGAGAGCTGTTTCCCCACACTTATATCTCTGTAAACAGCTCCTTTATATCAGTATGCCTTCCTTAGACTGTAGCATTTGGAGAACACCATCTGTTTCCTGGTAGGATCTCCAACTCGTATAAGCTCTTTTTTATTAGCTTGATTCCAAGATATTTTCAGTAATGCAATGGAAAAGTAAATAATAGCAAATATTGTTGTACAAGACGTGACTCTAAAAGCTTTTATATATGAATACTGGCAGCAACAATGTATAAGGTGGGTAATGTAAGTTCTGCTTCACAGGAAAAAAATATGAGGTCATCACCCTCAAGGCCACAATATAAAGAAACACGACAATGGGTGTATCTGTAAGGTGTTTCCATGGGCTGGGGTCCCAAACCTAACCAAAGGAGAAGTCAGCTGAGCACCAGCATTCCTTTCTCCTGACTGTGGAGGCAATGGACCCACTGCTTCATGTTTCTTCTGCCATGCTTTCTTCAGGGGAGCACTTTTCACTGTGACCTCATGTACACCCTTCTCCCTGAGCTTTCTTGGGGGTGTTGTCACAGAGAGAAGAAAACTAGCAAGGAGATGTTTTAAGAAAGAAATCACAAACAGCGGAAAATGAATTTGAGATGTCACATTAACTGCCCTGATTTTTCTTCTTCTTCTTTTTTTTTTTTTTTTGGTTTCTTTTGAGGCAGGATTTCTCTGTAGCTTTGGAGCCTGTCCTGGAACTAGCTCTTGTAGACCAGGCTGACCTCTAACTCAAGAGTTCTGCCTGCCTCTACCTCCTGAGTGTTGGGATTAAAGGCGTGCGCCACCACCGCCTGGCTTCCTGACTTTTTTTTTTTTAATTTTGGGGGAAGGTACCTACCTTTTGTTTATTTGATTGAGACAAAGTCTCATTTAGCCTAGGCTGGCCTTGAACTATCGATCCTCCTAGCTCCGTCTACCAAGAGTTGATATTATAGGCCTTCACCCCAACAGACTTAGCAAATTTTGTAAAGTGAACAATTAAAAAACCATTTTTATGGTTAATTTTCAAAATGACCGGGTCCTGGCCAAGATGGGCCTTGCCTATATGTTATAAATCAGTGCTTGCTAAAATACAGTTATGCAAATATAGAATCACTTGGTAAGAGAGAACCTCAATTGAGGAACTGCCCCATCAGATTGGATAAGTGTGCAAGGCATTTCTTATTAGTGAGTGATGTGGGAGGTACCACTTCTTAACAGGTGGTGGTCCTGGGCTGTATCAGAAAGCAAGCTGAGCAAGTCAATGGAAGCAAGCCAGTAAGCGGTGTTCCTCAAGGTCTCTGCTTCAGCTCCTACCTCCAGGTTCCTATTCTGAGCTCTTGCTCTAGGTTCCTTTGACAATGGACTGTATCGTGCAAGCCAAATAAACCTTGCCCTCCCCAAGCTGCTTGTGGTCGTGTTTTTTATCACAGCAAAGGAGGACAGCACTCCAGAAAACACAGATGGTATACGTATATATGCCAGCAGTCATGTCAGGGCAGCAGTGGCAACTGTCTTCAGGGGATTAGCCCACCTGGAAGCAAAGCTCTGATGGGTGAATCTCTGGTAGGCAAAGCCCTGAAAGCCTTGGCACCAAAATGCCTCTTGCTACTGTTGTGTCTTTGCATGTTTGCTGCTGCCATTTTCTCTGGTATCTGGCCTGGTGTGTGAATGGATGTGGGAGATCCCACTGACCTTCAAGTAGTGTGATTGATTACCTTATGGACATACCTCATTCTACTGGGCATTTTTTCTTGTGTATTTTTATTTTTTTAATCTGCCCGGCCCTCTGGATTATTTTTAAAGATGACTTTCTCTTAAACTGTACTCTTTAAAGTGTTGCCCCCTGCCCCTGATAAAATAAAGGCTGCAAAAGAAGATAGAAAAACAGAACAAGAAAAAATCGCACAGCTAGTTTCTCTTAAGGAGCCATATAGACTGTGGCTTAGGTTAATGATTAAGAAAAACAGTTGAGTTCCAGAAGCCAAGCTAACTCAAGTTCTTGAAATCTTAATGTTGGGAGATGTGTTTACAGGTTTCAGTATGCACTATAGCTGAAACAAAGTCTTAAATAATGACTTAAGGTTAGGTTAAGATGATTTTGTTAATGGCTTTGAGATAGAAAATCTTGGAAAATGTGAAGTTTAGAAAGGCACCCTTTAACCTAGGTGGTGGTAGCGCGTGCCTTTAATCCCAACATTCGGGAGGCAGAGGCAGGTGGATCTCTGTGAGTGTGAGGCCAGCCTAGTCTACAGAGAGAGTTCCAGGACAGGCTCCAAAGCTACAGAGAAACCCTGTCTCGAAAAACCAAACCCCCCCCCGACAAAAAAAAAAAAAAAGGAAAAAAGGAAAAAAAGGCACACTTTAATCACTTTAATAGCTGAGTGAGGTCAAGAAACAAGAACAATAAGAACAATGACAGCTTGGCTATTGCTGGCATTGTACCTTTTTTGCTAGGATGGGTTGGTGATCAAGGGTGATGATTATTAATTCCTTGTACTCATTTCTGCCCTCAGCTTCCTGACATTGAAAACTGTTGATAAGAGGGTATGCACCTTGAGGATTTAAAGTAGCTGATTGATTTGTTTTTCATATACAAATATTTAGATTTGTGATTCTTTTAAGATTCCTTATCAGACTATCTTTTGAGGTAAGTAATAAAGTGATCGATCCTTTCTTTGTAACCACAAAATTCAGCCTGCCAGTAAAAGAACTGGCTGAGAAAAATGCCTTGCTTGCTTACACTCTGTTAATCTGTAACAAGTTGCTTGGGTGTGAATGTCTGTGGATTCTTGGGAATAATTTGTTTTTCACCTGTAATAAGTAAAATGTTTCATCATGTAAGGGATATGGAAAACATTCTGTTTTTCACTTGTATTCATTGTAAACATTCACTTTATATGTAACCATGTTGTAATTTTTATATTGTTTGAAAGATTCTACTCAGGTATATAAACTGTAAGGGAAAAAATACACAAGATAAGAAACACCAGGAAAGTTACAGAAGGAAGACAAGAAAGACAGAGGGGAAGCATCAGGGTAGAAAGAATAGAAAAGAAATAGATTAGAACAAATAACAAATAATAAAACAAAAAACTAATTTGGCCTTCAGAAAAGTCCTCGTATGTGTCTGTCTGCCAGCAGTTTGCCTGCTTTACAGCTCTTCTTCCGTGTCTCTGACCTGTTGAAGGCTTGCCATTCATCAGCACCCTAGGTGAGGTCCTGACATGTTGAAGGTGTGTGTGTGTGTGTGTGTGTGTTGCTGACCCTAGGGAGTTAAGTTTTTTCTCCCTCGCCAGTCCCAGAGAATTAAGTTTTACTCCCTCAGAAAGAAAAGTCAAGAGCCGCTGAAGGCTGGGCCTTATGGCAGCAGAATATATTAATTATAAAAACATCACCACAGAGAACTTGTTAGAGAAATAGTTTTATAAAACAACAGAAAGCTCAACTGCATCAAACTAAGTACATCAGATTTACTAGAAGTAAAATCATGGTTTGCTAAGCAAAGTAACTTGTCTTTTTTTTTCCACAGCAATTTATAACAATTTATGAAAAAGAAATAATTTATGTTTAACAGAGACGGAAACATAGTTCATTATAAAAGCCTCAGAAGCACAAAAAACAAAAAGATAACAAAGCACAAATTTAAATTATGAATGTTCATTTGACAGAACCTGACTTGCCAAGAATTAACGTTTCTTACACCTAGGAAGTTCCCAGCTTTACCTCTCCAGCATTCCCGCTGAAGGGAACCAAGTGGCCCTACATTAATACTACTGACTCCTGATTATACACACACACTAAACTGTGGAGTTAGTGGAGGTTCTGGATAACCGAGATCCTGACATGACTTACCTCAGCATCTATCACATCAGTAATGTACCTGGGGGTCAGCAGGGGCATCCGAACATACTGTAAGAGGTCAGGCAAGGATTCTTCTCGCTCCTTCTTGGCATGTTTCACCCAGTTGATGACGGCCTCAAAGACTGGTTCTTCAGAATCCACCTGCAAATGTGTAATTGCACATCATGGATTTTTGCATTCCCAGTTAGAAGCTTCCCCGAATCTAAAAACAGCCATGCTTACTTTTTCTATTCTGCTCCGTCCTCCATTACTATTATTTCCCACCTTCCAGAAATGTGGAGGTGCTGGAAAAATAATCTTTCTAGATACAGGAAAAGAATTATATGTAATTTAAAAAGAACTAGGACAGATAATATTTAATAAACCATCAGTCACATGTTGGCTTTCCTTTCAGAATTGTATCCATTCTTGAAATTTTTTATTAAAGATTTTTATTTATTATGTATACAGGGATCTTCCTGCATGCATCCTGCAGTACAGAAGAGGACACCAGATCTTATTACAGATGGTTGTGAGCCACCATGTGGTTGCTGGGAATTGAACTCAGGACCTCTGGAAGAGTAGCCAGTGTTCTTTACCTCTGAGCCATCTCTCCAGCGCCCCCATTCTTGAATTTTTATCTAGTCATTTCTGCAACTTCAGTTAATATGGGAGAGCAAATCTGTTATCTTTATTAAAACTGAAATACTTTGCATTTATAGTTGCCTCTGTAGCGGAATTTCACTTTATTATCATAAGTAATGCTATAGCTTTCAAAGTATGGTAAGTCAGCATTTAAAAAACTATTAGATTCTGTGCTATTTGTGATATATAGCTTGAGATATATATTGATATATTTACTATATATATTTGGGAACTTAGACTATACATGGCAAATAGATAAAAAAAAAAGACACACCCTCTAAAGCCCGTACTATGCCACCAGAAAAGCAATAGGTACAACAACTAGGATTTTCCAAAGACAGACACCTACGTGTAGGCACCTATGTTCTCTCTGCAGTCTCTGTGCATGTGTAACCTGAGCCATCTGTCAGAGCGTTGACTGTGGACAGAGGAAAGCAAACAAAAACACCACCTTGTACACTGTTTCCCAAGAACTGTGGTACACTGGGAAGCAGACACGATGTGCATGTTCTACCATGTGATGGATTTACTCAACTTCTACTAAGTGCCAAGCACTGACTTCACTGCAGCAGATTACATAAAAGTGGACAGATCAAATACAGTTCTTGTAGGCCAGGCTTGGCCTTCATCTTATGGGCTTGTCTCATCCTTCCAGGGCTATCAATTATTAATTAATATACTCTGGCTGTGATTAAAATTATATAGGAAAGTAGCAGAGCTATTTGAGACAAAAATAACAAGGATAGGATAAAAGAGTAAACTATTAAATCTACTTTAAACCAAAAAACAAGTATTTTACACTGGTATGAATTTTTGTATACTGATACAAATTTAAGGTTATTTTCGTTAGAACATACTCCATATATATTCCTACTTTTCTTTAAGGTGTTTTTGCATATTGATACAAATATAAGATTATTTTTGCTACTATATATATATATTCTACTCTTGTTTAAGACATTTTTGTATACTGATATAAATTTAAGGCTATTTTTATTATACTATATATGTTTCTGTTCTTGTTTACCTTTGCAGCTCATTAGGTATAATTAGGGCTGGAGAGATGGCTCAGAGGTTAACAGCATTGCCTGCGCTTCCAAAGGTCCTGAGTTCAATTCCCAGCAACCACACAGTGGCTCACAACCATCTGTAATGGGGTCTCCTCTTCTGGCGTGCAGGCGTGCACACAGACAGAATATTGTATACATAAAAAATAAATAAATAAATAATTTTAAAAATTGTATAATTAAGAAATACAGCCTAAGTCGGGTGGTGGTGGCACACGCCTTTAATCCCAGCACTCAGGAGGCAGAAGCAGGTGGATCTCTGTGAGTTCAAAGCCAGCCTGGTGTACAGAGTGAGTTCCAGGACAGGTTCCAAAGCAACACAGAGAAACCCTGTTTCGAAAAACAAAAAAAGAAAAACAAACAAACAAAAAAACCAAAAAAATAGAAAGAAATACAGCCTATCTAACTATATATCTAGATAGATAGATATAGATAATATAGCTAGTCAACTATAATAATGAAATTTGTGCTTATATTAGATATGTTTTCAAAGTTAAACACAGATATATTTTAGATAGATAGGTGGTCTTCAAACACTTTAGAGACTTATAGAATATGGCATTTAAGACATTTTAATAGCTGGGTGGTGGTGGCGCATGCCTTTAACCCCAACACTCAGGAGGCAGAAGCAGGTGGATCTCTGTGAGTTTGAGGCCAGCCTGGTCTACAGAGTGAGTTCCAGGATAGGCTACAAAGCTGCACAGAGAAACCTTGTCTCAAAAAACCAAAGAGAGAGAGAGAGAGAGAGAGAGAGAGAGAGAGACTGACTTTTCATGACAATGAGACATGTCTTTTCCTGTCAGCACCAATTTACTTCAAAAAAAAGGGATGATAGGCACAAGAAACCTTCATATGGAATTTGCTTTTATTGTGGCAAGACAGTCATTGGGCAAGAAACTGCCTTTGACTTGACAGATGACAGTATGCTGTCTAAATTGGATGAGCAGGACACAAAAGAAGGTGACTGCTGAACTTTGCCAAGACAAGGTAAGACAATCCTTCAAAAAATCCTGCTTCACAGAAAAGTCTACCAGATATTTTGAGCCTGTAGGCCAAAGATGGATACACCAACATTGTAGAGGAACATTGGTGGCTGTGTAGGCTGCCAGCTGCTTCAGTCATTTGTATAGGTTTGGAAGTTGCTTTCTCTGCACTTCCTGCTTACTCAGGTAACAGTACTATTAGATCCTTCCTGGGTCTCTAATGAAGTTGAACATGAGATGTTGTAGTTACAGTTTTCCTTGTTACCAAATTCAGAAAAGAAACTCACAAAAGAGATATAAAGTGTATGAAGTTGACAGACTTCATACTTAAATTGTTTATCTAAGAAAATGTTCTGAGGTCTAAAAGGATAGTTTGCAGTTGACAATAAAAGTTAGGACACAAAGTAAATTAGGTACCACTTTAGACTCTCCAAGAGAGACTGGATTAGAGCAATTTTCCTGAATTTGCCAAATACAAATGGACTGGACATTGTAAATGTAATCCTTACTTGATAATTGTTCTTACTGATCTAGTTAATATCTTATTTGATATAGTTTTACTGTGTTAGAGTTTAAATCTTTCCTTCTTATTCAGACAAAAAGGGGGAAATGTTGGGAAATAGTCAATCACATTCTAAACCCAGAATTTGCATTAAATAAAATTAACCTTGGGTCAGGAGGCTGAGTTAGCAACTAGTTGATAAAAAGTAATCAGAGAGCATCAGAGGACATCTGGAAGAGATAAGAAGGAGGCAACAGAAGAAGGAGGGAGGGATTTGGAGTGGCGTGATTTCATTTTTGTTTTAGCCAAGCAGGACACTCTCTTTTGGAGACACTCCAGCAAGAAAAGAAGGCTCACTGCTGCTACTCAGCTTCTCTGAGTTAGCAGGTTGACCCCAGCCTTTGACTCTCTAGTCGTATTTATAAATAGAACAACAGAGATTCAGTTAAAGCCACCTTTCACGGCAGCAACAGAACTGGTGCCTGTGAGAACAGAATTCCCACCAGGCTGTGGCCTGAGTAGTCAGATCACGGCCAGAGAAGCAGGTTGGTAACTGTGGAGTTGCAATTGCTGGTTGAACTAGCATTAGATTAAGGTGCAGCCAACTGTGCCAAAGTTAAAACAACAGGCGGGTGAGTCAGGAAAAATCTCCCTTAAGTAGTAAGCTGAAATTTGATGGAAAAGTAGCAAATAGCCAGGAAAAATAAAAAAGAGAATACTCAAAGGGCCGGAAGTGGAAGCATATACTGATAATCCCAGCACCTGGAAGGCTGAGGCAGGAGGGTTGCTACACAGTGAGTTCAGAGCCTGCTAAGGATGTAGAATAAGATTTCATCTCAAAATCCCCAAGAGCACTCTGGAAAAAAACAAAACAAAACAAAAAAACCACGCAGCCAGAAGTTCTGGCCCACCTGTCCTTTCACAGGAGGGGCACTTAACTAAAATAAACAGAGTCCAGCTTCTTAGCTGTACTAGTCACACCCCTTTTAAACCCAATGGCAACATGCCCATGGCTATCACACTAGACAATGGAATTTAGTCCATCTTGAAAGAATTTTCTATCACACAACACCGACCTAGAACAAAAAGAACTGGTACTGGGGGACATTTTAGTGTTCTAGTCTAGTGAAAGGAGGAAGGGTGGTGACAGAGCTAGGGGTAAGCACCGGACTTCTGAGGGCATCAGAAAGAGCAACTGATATCTTGTGATATTGCTGTCCTGGTCCAAGCAGGACAGTAACAACATGTTCGTAAAAACTGCTGTGGTGACCATGGGAAGAACACTCCGAGTGCTAAGGGCTAGAGGATGGGTTCAAGTCTTCTCTGGTACAACAGGCTAGACTTCAGCTATGGTAGTTCTGGAGAAGCATGTGGAAGATCAAGACAGTCCATCTTACCAGAAGCTGGGGAAGATGCAGGATAGCATTATTAAGAAAAACTGTCTTTCTGTTTAAAACAAGTAAATCAAAATTGCAGAGAAACTGCTAAATGTGGAGAGAGGTTAATAATTCATAACAGGGAAAATAAATTCTTCACAAAGACCTTTTCTTATGTGTCAGACAAGACAGTGTCATTTAATGCTTGAGATAGTTCTGTTCAGTAAGAGCTAATATGATCTAAAAACAAAGACTAACCATCAGGTAACACATCACAGATGTTAGAACCAAGTCTGACTGTAAAACCCGTGCTGTTTCAATCAGTATGATACACTGCTTCCCACTGTCAACTATGGAATTGCAGACTAGCACCCCCATGCGTGGCTCCTATTGTTTTCTTTAGTAAGAGGAAGTGCTATTTATCAAGTGGAAGTCAAGACATCTGGTTGTAATTCTGAGCTGGTTTATAAACCAGGAAAAAATCTTTTGTTGTCATTCCTGAAAAAAAAAAAAGCAATGGCCAGTCTTAATATATGGGGAAGGAAAAACTACATAAAAGAATGCTCAAGCTGTTTTTCATCTTGGCCTGAACAGTTAGCCATTTGCTCGTTCTGTTCCATTTTATTTTATCCAGATTCTACAAGAGGTTCAAAATGACTGATGTTTGTGCTAATATCCTGATGAGGACAGTCAGAAACAAACCGGGCAGCTGGTGGTGAGCTCACAGCTCTATGGTGGGGGAAAGGTCTTGAGAACACATGGTCTGTAAGGGGTGATGATGGTGTTGTTAAAAAAGGGTCTCATTGGGGCTGGAGAGATGGCTCAGTGGTTAAGAGCACTAGATGTTCTTCCACAGGACCCAGGTTCAATTCCCAGCACCCACATGGCAATTCACAAGTGCCCGTAACTGCAGTTTCAGGGAGTCTGACACCCCCATGCAGGTAAAACACCAATGCACATTTTAAAAAAAAAAAAGAAACAGAAAAGTGGGTCTTTCCACTGTAATAAAGGGGGGCGGGGAGGTTGTCTCATATAGCCCAGGCTAGCCTGATACTATGTAGCAAAGGAAGGTTTTAAACTGGTTGTCTTCCTCCACTCCTAAGTGCTGGAAATTTCACATCCAGCTTTAAATTTTTTTCCCTTTTATTTTCTTTTGTTGGTTTTTTTGAGACAGTTTCTTCTGTAGCCCAGCATAGCTTTGAACTTCTAGCTCCACCTCCCAAACACTAGACTTACAGATGTGTAGCATCACATCTAGCTGACTGCCTGGACTTGAATCCTGGCTCTATAACTTACTTTGGTAAATCCTCATCAATAAAAATATACTTTAAAAAATATACTTAAAACCTTCTATTTTATAACATAAAAATCCATTTCTAGCCAATCAGGACAAAGACCATTTGATTTACATGAAGTATATCACAGAGTTCTTTTCTCCTATGGTGTTTTTTTTTTTCCTTTCTCTCTCTCTCTCTCTCTCTCTCTCTCTCTC